CATTCGTGAAGGAACAAGATAGTTCTAGAAACTAGAGGGCCTGAGAATAGTCACGTGATCTCAATGACGCAACAATATCTTGTGAGTCAAAGCTGTGGAATGTCTTAGTAATGTAACTATACGGCTAGCCATTGGACAACAGTACCTTTTGAAGTTTGATCCTGGTTTGTGTCTGACCGTCCATGGTGTTTCAGATTTTCTCAACTCTATTAAGTTGACCGATAATGACACCTCGTTTGGTAGCTGGTGGATGGTATGAGTTAAAATGTGGAATAATAATATGCGAAAGTAACAAGTTTGTTGTTCACGATAATGACCATGGTATCATTAAAGGGTATAGATTTCTGGACGTTATCGGTATAAGTAAGCGTGAGCATGATATCGGAGTGTTGATTATTGAGGAATTTAACCAATTCCAAAAGAGAAGGGAGTCCATGATTCCATAAACCGCAAATGTCGTCAATATATCTGTACCATCTCGTTGGTTTAAGATTAGTTTCAAAATCCCACTGAGTAAGAGCTGATGATTCAAAGAAATGCATAAAAATAGAAGCCACAACGACAGCAATATTATTCCCCATAGCGATGCCTTTCTTTTATTTGCAGAGAGTTTAATCAAATTTGGCATTATATTGATAAAATAACCCAACAGAACCCGTACAACGATAGAACATGTTACAACACATATTAAATGAATCCGTTATATTGTTGTAGCTGTATTTCGTTTTTCGGTTACTGTCATTTAAAATGAGCTTGGTAACCTGTGACGTTCATAGACCCTTGATAAAGGCGTAAGCCGAAACGTCGGGTACAAGTGATTAAACATTTTTCTGAAGTTGTTTGTCGTCTTCATTAAATAAGTGTTGTAACGTATTCTATCGTTGTACGGGTTCTGTTGGGTTATTTTATCAATATAATGCCAAGTCCAAAACACTTAACCATAACGAATAAACGTATTTCTTCAACATCATTTGCTACAGGCTACTTTCACTTTGACGCTAGTTGTATGTCTAAGTTCACAAAATTTTCACATAAACTCAAAAACAACTATAGGTCTAATACACTAATAAAATTTAACAAAAATTTGCTTAATAACAAATCTGACTAGCAATCTGATTAATTTTAACAGATCGATTTTCTCTCGACCAGCAACAACTCAATCTTTCACACATTGAATACTTCACTGAATCATCAATCACTACTCAATATGTACTTCACTAACTTCTATTCACTGATTACTCGTATTTACAAATCATGCACAGGGTGAATTTATTGGAAGTTTTATCCTTGTTTATCCTCTGGAAATCGTCTCGACATAAACCCTGGGCTTCTTAGCAGGTTGGCTTTATGTTGAAAAATTCTTCTTTGGAGTTACGAAGTTGGCTGTTCCATCATCAATGTACTTTCAACGACTATGATGTTGGATGAATTTTGGTTTGGGTTGCCTATTCCTCTGGATCCTGTAAACCATATCATTGATTGTTTTTAGTACAACATATGGCCCTTCTTAACACATGCTTAACTTGAGAGTTCATCCTCTCTTGTAGTGGGGATTGTACAGCCATAGCTATACCATGTTAGCACAGTGAAATCTAGTCTTAGCAGCATTAACATCATCGCAACTTTTAATTTTATCACTAGGTGATTTAAGTGTCTTTCTAGTAAAGTCACATATGACCTCAATAGTGTTCCTTCGTCCATCTGCATATTCAGAGTAAGACTGCTGAGTGACTATCCTCTGAGTGTGAATACAGAAGGTCCAGTAAGACACTTTAAGTTCTCTCCCAAACATCAGTGATGATGATGAGTTTCCTGTAGAATCATGCTGCCATTCAATAACTCATAAATAGCACTGAAATATCTTGTTCCCATGTTTTTGATGTTCATCCACATAAATGGCTAACGTATTTAAAAATTTATGGTTGTATCTCTCCATTATGCCATCAGAAGATGGATGAAGGACTGTTGTCCTGATTTTTTTTTATTTCAAGGATCCAACACATTTCCACAAATAAGGCTGGTTTAAAGGTTCGTCTCTGATCAGAGTGAAGTTCCACGGACACGCCAAATCTCAAAACGAATTTGTTGACGAGTTTCTTTGCTAGAGTTTCTGATTTGGGTTATTTGGTGAAATAGTACATTACAACCACGATGAATTTATTCCCATGGTTACTTTGTGACAGAGGACCAAGTAAATCACAGCAACTCTCTAAACAGTGGTGTTCAAACAAAATACGGCTGTATCTGCCTATGCTGTTTTTTCATAACCCTTTTCAATCTCATCATACTTTACATCTCATCAATTCTCTACAAATCTTTGGCACCTAAACCAATAGAAGCACTCACTCTAGTGTCTTCTTAACACCTAAGTGTCTTGCCATTGGAAGGTTGTGGAGGTAAATGAGTGCTTGAGAATGTAGAGACTGGAATTATCAATTGTAGTCACTGTTTTTTTGTTGTATTTTCACTGTTACCTTCCCATGTTCGACATAACTAGCCCTCTTATAAGCATAAAGAATCTCACTGTGCCCAATATATCTTTGTCTTTGACCTGTATGAAGTGATTATTTGCCATGAGGGTTTTAGTGCACTATTCGTGATCCACTTAATAACTGGCTTCAAATTTGTATCTTTTCTCTGAACATCTTTTAGTTGATTCTTGGATCACATTGGTTCTTCATTATCACTTGTGGATGTCACATCCTGGGTTATAATCTGTCGTACTTTATATTGGTCCTCTTTATTATCTTGTACTTCTTTTATTTCATAGTATTTATATTCTTCATTAACACAAGGTCTTTGGGATAACATGCCAACATTTTCATGGTCCTGTTCAGGGTGATGCACAGTGTTGAAGTTGTACTCCTGAGTTTTTGGAGTTATCTTGCTATCTGGCCTTCTGAATTGCAAAAATTCGCTAACCACTTCAATGCTGCACGGTAAGTCCAAAATATACAATTTTGTCCACATAAGTAATTGAGAAAATTCCATAGGGCTCAAACATCACCCACTAGCTCTATCTAAGTTATACAATACTTCCTTTCTGCAGTATTTTGTGCCTTGTTAGAGGCAGTCGCATATTTTTTTCCATGTTCTACTGCAGAATCACTGACACCTGTTTATAAAATGAATGGATCTTCAAGAACTGGGTATGCTAATACAAGAGTAGTGGTAAATTCTTTTCAGTTTGTTGAATTATTATTCACCATCATCAGT